AGAGTACTGAAGCATGCGTAGGTAATTCCACTGTCACTTTGAGGCATTCTAATCACAGACATACAATGAGAGTGAAATTTTTAATTTGAGAAATGGGTTCTCGTCTTGGTCTTTCTTGCGCCACCAAAAGTCCCACCAGGCCGCCTATTGCAAGGAGATTATCCTTTCCTGAAGCAATGGTAATGCTGGAGGAATATTCATTCTCTATCATCTCATTTTAAGTGCTTTTAAGTTATTACTCATCAACAAGTAATCTTCAGCGACTAACAACTTATAATCTTCATCCTTAGCTGTTTATACAGAATTGACTTGAAAACTGTCTTCCAAGTCGTTAATGGTAACAATTAAACTATTAACTATCAAGCTTAATTTCCAAAAACTAAAAAAAAAAAAAGCAAATCACAGATATGGAAGGGAAGGTTAAATATATAACTGGACAAGGGCTATTCTGATTTTTTAAAAATCACAAATCATCTGATTAGGCCTTCGAATGAGTGTAAGTACGGTTAATGATTACCATTTTCACGACCATGCCCCCCTTTACTTCTTTGAGCCATATTACATTACTCGACTAGAAAAAGGGTTCCTTTAGTTGGCTATAAAGTTAAGCCTTTCACCCATTAGAACCCTGAGGGTAACTCACCATCTGCAGGGGTGAATTTGAAATTTGGCTTTTAGGGTCTGGTAAGAGGGGCCATATCCTAAGAAAAACAAAAGAAAAAGGTAGTAAATCACAACGGCAAATCATAGAGAAGCAAGCTTCATTCATTCTTTCATTCAGAAGCTCGACTTTTCTCTTCCTTCCAATCAATACTGCATATCATGTCATTCCTCATTCTTTTTTCTGTGAGTGAGCTTATGCCCTTGCATTTATCAAGGTAGCTTTGATATATGCCTTTTCATCCAAGCAAACTTCCTCTGAAACCCTCTCTTTCTAGTCCCTCTTTTGTCCCTTCCTTTTTGTTATCCTATCGCTCTGTCAACTTCAGTCCTTCTCCCTCAGATATCTCGGATATCCTCTCTTTATCACCTCCATGTGCCTCTTCCTCCACCCCTTTTTATACTTGTTTTATTCTCACCATCTCATGCATTCCAGTCTCACCAAATTTTCTCTCTCAGTCTGTTCTCTCTCTCTCTCTCTGTGAGTCTGTTTTGCTGTTTTGTTTGCTTCTCTTTGTAACCTTTCTCTAGTTTCCAACCTATCATGGAACCCCAACAACAACAGAACCATCAGCAGCAGCAACAACAAAACCAGCTGCTGCCAAATGAAGATGGGGGCTGTAGTAAAAACGGTTTCTTGTGCAGGCAAAGCAGTACCAGGTGGACTCCCACCACTGAGCAAATAAGAATCTTGAAGGATCTTTATTACAACAATGGAGTTAGGTCTCCAACTGCTGATCAGATTCAGAAAATCTCAGCTAAACTCAGGCAATACGGCAAGATTGAAGGCAAGAACGTCTTTTATTGGTTTCAAAACCATAAAGCTCGTGAGAGGCAGAAAAAACGCCTTACCACTGATATATCTGCTATGCAAAGAGGTGTTTGGAGATCTGATTATCAAGAATCCATCTGCAGTACCAAGTACCCTAACATCACTTCTGGTGATTTCTAAACCTCCCTTTTTTTCTGCCCTTCCTCCTGCATAAATTGAAATGTTACTATATATTACTGTAACTAGTGTGTGTAGTGTGCGTGTGTTCCTTTTTTCACATTTTAGCGTTTTCATATTCAAGATCTTTGAGGGTTTTCGGGGGAAACTTTTGGTTTCCTTACAGGTGCTCCCTCGTCATCAGCTTCTGTAGGTGGTCTGCATGCTGCTGGCCAGGTGGGAAATTATGGTTATGGATCTTTTGCAATGGAGAAAAGTTTCAGGGTTAGTCTACACATACAAAAGCTGAATTAAAGTTTAAAGCTTTGAAACTCTACAGCTTAATCCACTCAAGCAAAAGAGATCACAGTGTATTGTTTGAGCGTCTTACTTGTTATTTTGACATTAAAACCACATAAAGAGAAAAAAAAAAAGTGCAGATCAAATAGAGTAACGTGGATACTTAAAGATCCTCTCTACTTAGTTAATCTAAGGAGTAGAAGAAATTTTAGATAGTTTGTACAAATTCCTAAGATAGTAAAGTAGCTGCAGAGAAGCCTGGCAAGTATTTTAATTCGGTGAAATTTTCCCGTGAGTTTTGATCCAGACAAGAGGCTAGCTTGTGCTCAAATAAATTAAGGCTGCACTTTCTCATGGAAATCAACTTATTTTAAGTGATAGGACCACTATTAGAGTCCAAAAATGCACTTTTAAAAAAGCGTACACTTTTAATAAGTAAGAAAAAGGTTATGTTGATGTTAATCACTTAATTGGCGTCTTCATCAACATTAGGGGAACATTACTCAAATAATAAGTCTCGCTTTCTCGCTTATATATATATATATATATCTTGATTACACACAGGATTGCTCCATATCACCAAGTGGCAAAGCGAGTGGGTCTATGTTCCAAAACTTCTCTTGGGCTGGGGCCGGGGCTGGGGCTGAACCTTATCCTTCACCATACCAATTCCTGGAAAAGAAAACATGCTTTGTTGAAACATTGGATGATCAGGAGCAGGAAGAAGAACCGGTCCCAGAATTAGAAACTCTCCCTCTCTTCCCCATGCACGGTGAAGACGTATCTGGCTTCTGCACCAATAAGCAGCAGGAACAAAACTGCTACTACACCGACTGGTACCAGCCCAATGGCAACGTGGGTTATTCTCGAACTTCCCTTGAGCTAAGCCTCAACACCTACGGAGGCAGGTCGCAGAATTCCCCCTAAATCTGTAGGATAGTCTCTACCTTTCTTCCCCTATTTCAATATATATGTTAAAATGTAGTTAGTACATATGCGATGCCCTCATGATCAGCTTCTGTGAGAATGCTTGAAACAGCTGAATGTCACTGGCAGCAGCCACTGATCAGTAATTGTACGTACGTCTTTCCATTTCAGAGGAAAGCTTAAAGATGCAGAATGCTAGTTGTTTTACATGACATATAGTAATTGATTTCGCATAGATTTTCCTAGCTAGTTTTCATTTACAAACCAGATTCATGATTCCCATAGTCTTATTCACCTTTCAGCCAAGCACCAAACAAGAAAATTAACTAGCACTAGCACTGTACTTTGGACATACTCTACGTCAAGGTTCGTTCAATAAAGAATTATTAGTAGTCATCACTCCTCAGTCATCTATACTGTCAGCTTCTCAAAATGCCAATGAAAAAATTATATGTGGCGCAGCTTGTTGAGTAGCGCGTGGAGACCATAGATTTCACGACAGAGATTTAGGAAGGGACCCACATGGGGATGAAGCTCTTGTGTGGGGTGGCTCTCCCTACTCTCTAGTTGGGGGAAGATTGAGCCGGTTGGTGGCTAGTCCCAGTTTGATCTGATCGCTGGCCTGTGGGTTCTGGACCGTGCAAAGATGCAACTAGCAGTAGTACTGTAACATAACAAGCAGCCACTTAGTGGTGCCATGATTAAAATTAGTAAGATTTTCCAATGATCATCATCAATGTCCTCGAAAATTACAAAAAAAAAAAAGGGGGTTTCTTTACTTTGAGTGTGGAATTGGAACTGGAATGAAAGAGAGAGAGAGAGAGAGAGAGAGAGAGAGAGAGAGAGAGATACAAAAAAGAAGACAGAACAGAAAGAATGATTATACCTTTAGAACGAAAGAGGTGGGACACGGCAGGATTTTATATCCTTAACTTTTATTCGCGGCCGTTATATTTCGAAGAAGAAAAAAGGGCGCATGTATTTCGAACTCTGCAACCCAGCGGCCTTGCCCCTTCATCGTAAATATCACAAATTATTTGGATGTCTCCTCAAAGTCTGTCCCTTCTGCATTTTTGTCCTTCACACTGGCACTACTTCTTTGCTGTTTCCTTTTCTTGGTTTAACTTTTTCCTCTTGCAACTGAAGAGTATACACATCTAAAATGCTGCAACATGTGCACAGAAACATATTAATCTTTTCAGCAAAAAAAATTTGCCATGGCAAGATAAATAAAGCATCATCTGTGCCTCCAACTAGTGGTTTAATAAATAAAAAAGAACATCTCAAGGGATGACGCCCCGGTCCCAAAACCACTCTGTGTTGTAGATGATGCTATCAACTGGTAATTCCCACAAATGGGATTACAGCAATTCTACACGTTGCATCACTTGAGCTACTTCCCTTTAATCAGCATGTTTGAGTGGAGCAAGAATGACAACACTGAAAACGGTTAAAAACTTGTTGCAATGCTAAGATTGATGAACAAAACTCTACTACTAGTCTACTACGTACTACTTAATATGAGTTCCTCCCAATCCTTATTCAGGTTGATGAGAAAGTGATTCAGACTCGTGTAATTCTTAGGTCTTACGGGTATCAAATGATTAGTTTTTGGCTGTTATTTCTGCTTTGTAATGATACTACTATAATATATACAAATACTGCATCGCCATATTATTATCTTTCAAAAGCGTCAAGAGGGAGGTCAAATTAATAATTATGAGTAAAACACATCTTGAAAATCACAATAAAGACCACTATCAAGTTGCAGTTTTCACCCTGTAGAAAACTAATAAGCTCATGTTAGACTGATGGCTGGACAGACAGCCTTTGAAATTGAGCTTCGATCTGCAGGCATATTTTCTACTTGCTCTGTTCACTTTGTAGAAAAAATAAAATGATAAATATTAGAGTATATTGAATGACTTGGACATTCTGCTTCTACAGACTAGAAATTCAACAAGAAAATTACACAGTTTCTCTGAAAGGAATTATCCCACAAACCAGTGTCGGTATGGCCCTGAAATTATTGAAAAGATCATGGGCCTACCAGCGAGCAGACATATGCTGAACCGGAGCAGATATTTGTATTTTGTCTAAATTTAAACTCAGCACTCAAAAAGAGCCAATCTAAACTCTACTGAAATAGATATATATATATATATATGAAGGGCCACATTTTTTACAAAAATCAAAATTTAGAAGGCAAGAAAGAATAGAATTGAATAAATTTTCCAATTCATTCTTTGCTTCTATTGTGAATTGTGATTCACTGTTCCAACCAGGAAGAAAATCGTGATGCAATTGACTCGAGACAAGCTAGTCATCCAAACAAGTTTTGGGAAAACAGACAAAGTTAATCCAACTGACATTCGGATCATTGATGACATGTGGACCGTCCATATCAGTTATGTCATAGGTACGTAGAGACATTCACTCGAGAAGGGTGAGGTTTTATTGGGTATACTGTAGTGCTGGGTACACCAATTTTCTTGGCCCCCATTGCCTGGTGCGTTCAACAGCTTTGTAATTGTACAGGTCACAATCAACAAGATTTTGGGCGGATGCTTTCCTCTATGAGGTTTGACAATTACTCCCACTTTTTGGCGTTCGAGAACCCTAATAGCACATATAGGGCACGGGACCCCCCATCGTCCCAAAGAGTGAGAACACCAGAGAGGAAACAATGGAGAAAGCTTCTTCCTGTTGCAAATGGATGCGTGGAGATTTAATCGCAGATCCAATGCGATCTTCGGCACTTTTTGAGGCTTCAAGCACGTAATGTCCCTTATAGAAAAGTGAGGCAATGAGTGCATCATCACCTTTTATCCTTGCAAGGCTCCTTAGTTATCAAGTTGGTCACTTCTGTATATTGATTGATCCCAACATTCTGTGCAACGCTTTTGTTGCACTATTCTGTTAGTTTCACATGTCACTTAAGTAGCCAGCATTTTAACCCACGAGAGAGTTGAGACTGCTCTCCAATCACCACTCTTGCCAAACTCAAGTTGTATGCATCCTTCTCTGTCTTCTGTGTTTTTAATGGTTAAAAGCAGGTCATGCAGACACATGATATACCATCTATCTATAGAAGAAGACGACCATGAAAATCAGCACAGATAAAATAAAGGGCCAACTTTCGAAGAACTTGTTACAGAACTGAAAAACTTGAATATTTGACGTGAACATGCTCAACTACCATTTTCATCTTGGGAAATTTTAATGCCCAGACTGAATGCCAAATACTATTGGACCAAACTAAAGGTAACATAACATAGAAATAGAGAGAAGAAGAAAGTAAACGTTGTGATCGCCAAGAAGTTCATCTCTTACTTGGGTTTCAGTCAATTTTCCTCTTACAAGACAAGAAGAATAATAAATTCAAAAATCAAACACTAGAATAACGAAACACATCTTTTGTTTTTTTCTTTTCATTTTGAATAATCATAGGCGGTAGCACACCAAGCAATATTACAAATCATCTGAACTGAACTAAAGGGTGCATCAAGGCAGAAGATCATTTAGAAAGCAAACAGTAGCAATGTTTAGGGGAACCATACATCTGCATCCCTCTTTATCAGGGCCAATAACTAGCAGTCAATGTTTGGACACGCAAATGAGCTGTCTCTTACGTACACCTTGCCATCTAAAGACGCTACTGGCTGCATAATTAAATCCCATCAGGAAATGAGAAGAGTATATTCTTACACCAAAAGACATTCAAAATTAGACAGATTGAAACGAACAAACAACAGCCCATATAACTAGTAACACTTCTTTCTTTTTTTCCATTTTTTACTAGTCTGAAAGCACAAATAGCTTTGTCATCCTAGGCATCTGGAAAACACAATGAATGACAACAAGGAGACTTCCCAAAGAGTTTGAAACAATATGATGTGATAGTTCACCTGATCTGCAAGTTGCATTCATCAGAGGATGTGCTGAAACTGGGTCATATTAACCATTGACGATCAAGGAGCATCAGAATGAGGATAACTGATAAATTGCCTACAGTATAAAGGGCATCCGACCAATGCATTACTCACTGATTCTATCTTGTCACTTAGTGCTCCTGCACCAAAAAGTTAAAAGGATAAAAAAAAACAATAGAAACGAAAAAAAGGAAGAAGTCAACACATATGAAGGAACTCAACAAACTTTCTAACCGTGAAATCAATTGCTGCAGAGAAAGTTCATGTTTCAATTACCTGACTACAACATTTCAGGGAGGTACCAAGATACTTTCTACTTTCTTCCATAAGCTGCCAATTTGGATAAATCTGGAATCCAAAATGATAACTCTGAAGAACCTGTAGCAAACATCAGACTTCCAGGAGCCCATTTTATGACTGGTGGTTCATCTTCAGTACTCATCCAACTGGCTACCTGGTACACATGAAACCATACACTTACAGATGGCCAAATACAACCGGTTCAGTTATCCAGGGCTAACCACTTCAGCAAAGCATCTGAAAGGTAAGAGCTTATATACGACAACAACACCACACAAAAGAAGACACTGAAATTGAGGGGATCAACCTAGGGTGCCTATTTTTCCTCAGTACATTCTTAAACTTTTAATTATTTTCCTGGTCAACAATGACGCAGAGACCATTCACAAATTAAGTCTTATCTTGCTCCCATATGACCATCTTTTCTAATCATATATCATAAATGAGCCAATATCATAATTTTGCATCTTCTACATATGATCTTTGACTTTTGAGTAAATTCAAGTCAAAAACTGAAAACCTATATTACAGGTATGACTGTGGCCAATTAAAAACAACTACGCCTACAAAAAGTTATTATGGTCTAAGGCATGACAATGCCTATAATAATGCAATTAAAGGTACGACTGTGCATCTAGTTTATGTGTATAAATACATAAGTATATATTTAAAAAGGGAAGAATAATTTGCTCTAAGTCATACTTCTTTGCCACTTCGAACACTCCAAACATAGACACTACCATCCCCAGAACCTGTCAAGTAATAGAAACCAAAGTCAAATCAGCTTCAAATGTATGAACTCAAAAGAATGATTGTCACTCATCTTTATCATCATATACATTTCCGTTCTAACGTTCCCCAATCCCCATAACAGTGAAATAGATCCATAGCACCAAGTCACATGAAAATTACACTCCATATAAAATCTTTCCTTTACAATAGGTTTCAAACCTCAGGTCCTTAACATCTTCTCCTCATTGGATAAAAAAGGGTTAGCAAAATAGGCATCACAAGAATACTAATAAAAAATCAACTTTACACACAAAGTCATTTGGATTCCTCAGGAACTCCTGAGAAAGACATCAAGGAAGGAGGAGGTTAATGCCAAGTTTAACACCACCCCAGATTAATTCCTATAAGAATAGGTGAGGAAGAAACCCAATGACTTAAATACAATTTTATGACAAAGATCCTAGATTTATTTCATTGCAGGTAGGAAGAACATTGAAAGGCTTGAAAAAAAAAATTATGCAATAGGCGTCAAAAGCACATATTGGAATTTTAAAGAGGGAAATGTCAAATAAGTGATGTTTCATGATCCTCTTCTAAGATGATAATTGTTAGCATTACCTGAAACAACAAACATTCCCTCTGGGCTGAAAGATGCCTCTAATGTCGAACCACTTGAAACAGGCTTGACATTGTATGTAGATAGCTACAGCAAAAACATGCAAGCATGTCAACAAGAAATATTGTTTTCTTAAAGCAATAAAAGTTTATTTATAATTATAGAACCATTAGGCAGATGCTGAAAGAGAATAACTCACAAGCGTTCCACGAAATGAATCAAGCACATGAATATGACCTTCTAAAGTTGTCAAAAGCATCAGTCTTCCATCATTACTGAACTTCACAACATTAGCATCAGACATATCTCCCCCAACCGAAAATATGTCAAAAGGGCCCTTCAAAATTAGTTACTGAAAGTTCAGCATTTTGTTGAAACTGCAAATTCACTATGCCACATTCAGATGTCATACACTCTCATATATCAACTACTGACCTTTTCATACTTGCGAGTATCAAACATTCTTATATATCCTCCATAAGCAATGGTAAAAACAAGACCTTGATCATCATAAGCTGTGGCTGGTCTTCCCTGCACACGTAGAAGACCCTAAAAAACAATAGCAAATACACCAGTTAGAATCTTTAGAAAGCATAGAAACTACTTGAAAACGAAAAACAGATTGCCAAAGCCTATACCTGGCATTTCTCTGCTCTTTGGTCCCAAAGCAAAACAGTTCGGTCCAGAGATCCAGAGATAAAACACTCTTTTCGAGAGCACAAGCTAAGAGACACGACCCTGGATTATCAGTAGAACAAAGTTACTTGCATTTCATAATGATATTTATGGCTTACATGGTAAGCAGAGAGAAATATCTCTAAGGTTCATTGGCAAAGTACCTATCATGATGACCCTTGAAATATCGCAAATACTTATTATCATGTAATGAAAGAAGCCGCAAAGATTCTGCAATCATCTAACAAATTGTGTAAACAATCTTTATTTTCAGGCTTACACGCATACAGAAATGTTCTTCAACAATACTTACCATCCCAACCATTCTTTGAGGAGTATATGACAGTTGTTGGATGAGAAGTAAAGTTAACAAGATCAACCCCATACTTTTTGCTATTAATAGTCTTCAAACATCTGTAAATAACAATGTAAGGCTTTTTAGCATGTTAATTGATATGAGCAATGCCAGATAATAAGACGGAGAAGGACATGCAGGTGCCATCAGACATTATTGAACTACAAAGCTCCAACAATGAAACTAAACACTAGTTGGTGTAAAAGTTAAATCAATGATGGAGGGTCCACTAGCTGCTGGTCATGTCTGAATGTGATGTATATACCATGATATGCTACCAGTCATCTTTATAATGTCAATAATCTCAATGATCAATGATTAGAAGATTTAGCAAACTGCAGCACAAAAAACCATTGGAGAAAGCAAATAAGCTCCTTTCCAGTAGTTGAATGACAGTAAAGCATGTCCAATGGCATGCATTCTGCCATTTCTTGTGGATTTTTTTTTACATTTTTGTTACTTAAAGTTCGAGATGAGTTATTTATACAAAGCGGCACTCAAGCATGTGAGAACTGAGAATACATAAAACTCAACTCTGAGCTATATATTGTAAGTTCAGCTAAAGTTAAAGCAAATCTAGAACTTATCGGGTGGTTCACATTTTCCACATACCAATCAAGTGCTTTGGAGAACCACAGGGATATTCCATTATACTTCAGAAATAAAAAGTAGTAGCACAGAAGCATGGATGAAGAAAAAGGCAAATTATTATCAAAACTTGTCGAATTTTAGACAAAAGTCGAAGCTAAATGCTTACGTTGCATTTGCCACGTCATACAGCCGGATAGATTCATCATCGCTAGCAGTCACCAGATAAGGGGATGTCTTGTGGAAATCCATTGAACTTATTCTACCATTCTGTAGCCAGCAAAAAGCACCTCTGAGTAATTGTACTTATGCTTACTCCATTTCACAACAATTAAAGGAGTAACCACTTAAACTCATACGGAATAAAACTACATCTTCGGCTTAATCTGCCGATTAAAGTAAAATTTCTGCGACTTATAAAATATACTCTGGACCTCAATCATAATTCATAAAATACTAATTCCTGAGTAGCAACAGATAATAATGCATTCAAATCATCATCTTAGAATGCAATGATCAGGCGATGTTGCACAAGGTTCAAGGACTCTTAAACTATCATACAGAGGAAAACCCACTCGTCTTCCAAGTTAACTATATACTCACTATTATCACCAGCATGTTAAGACTAGGCTTGCGCTTTCTTCTATTTACATACTAAAATCAGAATACGAGAAGCCTATATAGATAAAACTTCAATTATAGCCACCAAACTTTAGCAATTCAAAAGCTAAGCTACTAATAATTTAAAGATAATGCAAAAAAAAAAAAAAAAAAAAAAAACCAAAACTAGGCTGTCAGAAAAAGGTAAATAATTGTATTCCTTGTAACAAATTGAAAAATTAACGAGGAAAAAACCGTACATAGTCGCGAAAAGCCATGCCAACTTCCATACTCTGTAGAATTTCTTCGGTGAGTTCCAGGGAAACCTTGACCTCTCTATCGGATTGTCCTCCTAAATTTTGTATAGAATGAAACTAAATTATATCATGAAAGCAACAACCAATCAAATTGAACTAAGCATACGAAGATTTCCAAAACGCTAAACACTTGAATGCTCAATCGACAAAAGTACCAGCCATCTTCTTCTTCGGGAACTTTGCGAATTTGAGGATTTTCTTTGCGAGCTTCAGAGAAATTTTTTTCAGCAACGTTTAATTAACCCGCCATATTGAGAAAGGCAAAATGATTTGTCTCCTGTGGAGCTGTGGGTCTTGTTCAAGGTCGACCCGAGATCAGTGGATTTGTGGGCCTGACTCAGTGTTGAATGGTTATTTCTCAATTCGTTTGGGGTCTAGTTTAACATTTGGGCCAACGGCCCTAACCATGAAGCTGCTGCAATTTTTTATGCAGGGATAATTAGGGATTAAATTACCCTCACCCCTCCATAGCTTTGTCACAATTTAGTGTACTTTCCATATATTTTTTTCAATTGCAATATGTTCCCCTAATATTTCTTTAAGTTGGTTATGCTTTTGTAAATACAATGACATTCCCTCTTCATAAAGATAAATGTAGAATTATGGGCTTTTGTTTTTCAGCTCATATCATCATTTATGAAAGATTTTCATACTCAGCATGAAACTTGGAGGGAATATTTTGTGATGTAAAACTAGAATGGTATTAGTATGTAATTATGAAAAAATTTCAGGCGAGATCAGTCAATATCAATATCCCTCAATTCTAATAGTGGCATTTGAGGCTTGAGCCCACGAGATCCATACGGTAATTCAATATCCCTTACGAGATATAAAGTTCGTTTGAAAAGAGGCCTTTTTACTTGTGAGTTGCCAAAATGTCTTTACTTTCATGTTCGTACTTCATCTTTTGTGAATTGTGCAATTTTCTGCATCAAGTCTTTTTTTTGCTTTAGGTAAAAAAACGTTAAACATTTGTTTCGATGCATTCAATAAGTAATAAAGAGACTTCGTTGCATCTACTTAAGAGGCTAATTCTTATCTGATGGAAAAGGTACCTTTTAGGCGCATTCTTGTCTGATTGCTTTGTTGGTGGGCTTAGAGGCATCGCAGCAGCACACGCGTTTGCGCATTTGCTTATTGGCTCTTTTTAAATTGTCAAAGATGCCAATGTGCATGTACAATAATTCTTGTGCTCTAACTGTACCTTAATAAACCATTCAACTTTGATCCAATAACTAGAGAAAGTTTCTCAGAGCTCTCTCGTGCATTAAATTGAGAATTCAAATCCCACCTAATGTATCACAAGGAAGTACTATTATGCTTGCTTTGTTCAAAAAATTCAAAGAGTGCAACAGTGTGCAGAATTTGTCAATATCCTCTTGGACTGTTGTTAGTCATTATCAAGACTTTAAGGAGTGGGAGGCTATATAATTGTCACTTAATTGTGACCGTTACTTCAAGTGGTTTCCTCCGACGGAATTTCTCGTCGGCTCTCTCCCCTCCCAAATTAGGTTAGAGTAGGTTATACAAATGTTATCATTGCGATAAAAAAAAAAAAAAAGGTATGGAGTTTAATCCCCTAAATCCCATCTAGAAAGTTATACCTTAATAACTTGTTTAGAGAGAAATGAATTAAATCAATAATAAGAAGTATACGAATTCAAAAGTACAATACAGTAACTCAAAATGATTAATCACTATCGGATGTAGAGCAAGGCAACCTGTATTGTATATATTTTATTCTAATCGTCCGCGAACCAGGTAAGGGAAACAAGAACCTTGAGGCAAGGAAATCAGAGAGGAAGAAGAAATGTTTGGTCGGGCGATTAGAACTCCCACTTTCTCTTATCGCAATTACGAGGGCTTGCAAAACCCTTAATATTGAAAAAAACAAGACAGCTTCTCCAAATTAGGGGTGCTAGCAAGTCAAGTTACTCGCGAGCTAGCTTGATCAAAAGTTTGACTCGAGCTCGGTAAAATCGAGCTCGAGCTACTCGTTAAATTTAACGAGTCGAGTTCGAGCTCAAGAAATAAATACTCGAATGTTCGTCGAGTTTAATCGAGTTTTCATATTTTATTTATATTATATATTTATATTATATTATATATTATATATTTTAAAAAAAATTATAGATTTATTTCAAAACTCGAGCTCGAGCTCGAGTAGCTCGGGCTTGGTATTTACTCGAGCTTACTCGAGCTCGAGTTTAGTTTTATTTCATCGAGTTAAGCTTCGGTGGTGGCAGATTTCTTTATAAACTCAATGCAGTCGGCAACAGCTTCACTCTGGTGCGGCTCATACGGATTATAATTAGAGGAGGAAGGCCCTTGAGCCGCATTTGCCGAATACTTTCTTCCATTATTGGCGGTTTTGGTCAGAGCAGACAACATAATCAATTTAAGAACCGCTTCCCGGAATCGATCAAGCAATGACATGGGTGAGAGCCGGTTGCTTTTTCTGGTCCACCGGCTGCCACTGATCCTTGGGGCACAAAAAGGGCCTCTCATATATAAACTACTATCGCTGTATCCTTCTTGTTCTTGGCTTTGGCTTTTGAGCGTTTTTTCGGTTTTCTAGCTGCTGGTTTCGAAGTTCATGCTCCAATATGAGAATCTACAGCGAAGCAGTGCGTATTAAATATTAGTTGGTCTGATGATGCCAAGTTCATGTGACATTGACCGCATATTTTGCGAGGAAAAACATTTTTTAATTATTTTTTCTATTTTACATCCTTTAATCCGTCGCAACATATTTTTTTTTAAATAAAAATTTCAAAATAAATTTCCATGTTCAGAAACTTTTTGAAATTGTATATATACAAGGGATCGGACACATAATTACAAGGGCGAATAAATGGAAAGATGTAAATCCATTTGCAATTAATTGTCATTTTTATGGCCTGTGATCTTAATTCGTACCATGCACAATGAGTGTATAATTGCCTGATTTCAAAATGAAAATCATCATTGACTCCAACGATTAATTTTGAAGTCATTGCAGGCTGCAAATGGAGAAACAGAATCTTGAAAGAAAGAAAGGCTCCGGACTCAGGTCTTTAGTCAACAGTTTATACGCTAAGTCACCCAGAATAAAATGATCTCTTGACTTGGAGTTTTCTGAAAAATACCATACCTTCCCCCCCCCCCCCTTTTAATTAAAATTGTTCTTGGTTGCTGCTCCCGCAAAATTCGGAGCCGAACCCCGGCTACGAAGTTTTTGAGGGGCATGTGCCTCAAATTTATGCACCCCGTCCCAAGATCGTGATTTCTTAGATCAATCATAGTATAAAACTTAAAAATAAACAATTTTAAATCAACTATTTTCTTTTCTTCCGAGAAATAAGTTGCTTCTCGTTCAATTATCATCGCAGATTAAAAAATAGAGTAGTATTGGTGTTAACGGGCTATTAAGTTGAGATTTGTCACGTGGCTCTTCTTGTAGTACTTTTTTTGGAACAAGTTGCCATTTTCTCTTCTGCCATTACATTTCTCTTAATTTTTGCACTTCATGCACTGTGAATTTCGAACGTCAGACTGATTTTTTTTTTTTCTTTTTTTGTAACTTAACCCTGGCCTCAATTTCTTCTTCTTCTGTAACTTATAATCCTTTTTTTTTTAAAAAAAAATGTAACTAATAATCCTTTACTTTGACTTATTTCGGTGGTGAATGGAGGCAGGAAAGGAGGATTTTAAATAATAATAATTAAAAAAAAAGGGCCAATAGTTTCATGGCTTTGGGGTTCGACAATGGAATGCAGTTGAAGATTTTTGTCTCAAAGTGTAAGCTTTCACATGTCTCAAAGTGTAAGCTTTCAGTGCCATAGTTTTTTCTTGTCTCGTTTCAGAGGTCTTGCAAAGCTTAATAGTTAATACTACTGTATCAGGAGTAACTATATATTATCGCACGTAGTGAATGAACAAATTCATGCATGCCTTCACCACATCTCTATAATGTATTTTCTGATCACAATTCTTTTCAATATAACCGACTAACTACCGACCATATCAAACTCTTTGTGAAAGTGTCCTCTGCTAATTGGATGGTGACTATTGTTCTATCTTCCTGTTATTTGTACCGTTCTTTCTTGCAAGAATATGGTGAAAAAACACACTGCTGATAACATAAACAAAGAAATATTGGTCCTCGGGATGCGGCCATTGCCTCGATATCATTCTTTAAGAATTAGAGCTTGAGTGAGTAGTGGAGCTTGGAGCATATTTTCCTGTTGTTGTACTTGAGGGAAAATCTTCGGTCGACCATAGTTTTGGATTTGCTGTCCCTCTCATCGAGTTCGGACGCCAACAGGAACTTTAAGTTTCCCCCACAAATGCATCCCCAGAACGTTACCTTTGCATTATCTGCCATCATGGTAGAAGTCTAATTAAGGGTGGCTGCGTGGAATCTGTTTCACCGATTAAGCTAGAAGGAAACTGTTTCGTTCCCACCATTGTATTATAGGTCTCTGAAAATGACAATACTCTTTCTAATTAACTACAAGCTATAATAAAGATATGGGGAAGAAAAAGCCATAATAATTAAGGATACCCGAAATTCAACCATGGGAGAGTGTCTAGGGCACCTTAATTAATAAGATTGATGAAAAAGTAAATGCAAAGATACATGCAGAAATAACTCAATAGTGCTCGAGGACGATTTTAAGTCAACTAAAACAATTACATTGTTTGGAGCAAAAAAAAAAGAAAAAAAGAGTAGGTTATACGCTATTAGTTTCAAAGATTTCAATGAAATAAACGATTACATTGTTATTAATATGGATCGATAGAATTTTAACCATGAGCTCTAGCTTGCATGAGCTTCTTTTGAAGAGAACACTCTATAACCTGCAAACAAAATTCCGGAATGACCTTATTTCATGCCTCAAACGACGAGCTTGAAGGATAGCCCAACGAATAATGAGGCCATTGATTCACGGTCCGGTACTTTTCTGGTGCCCCTTCTTTTTGGCAAACAGAAATCCAAATGATGGCCTCTTCTTCAATTTCTTTTCTCCAACTGAAGGGGTTGAATTTACTCCCTCTTGACGATGATGAGGACGATCATCTTCTTCTTTGCTAATAATCACTCGAGTTAGCAGTGGAGGACTGGCAAACTTGACTGACCTCTTCTTTTCGAGCTCCTCGAACCCTTGAGTTTGTGTACTCTTGACTTCAACTTTGGTGCTTGCGTTTTCAATGAACTTGAGTTCTTCAATCTCAGAATCAAGTGATGGTGTCGGTTTGTGATGATCAGTTAATTCCCTCGAGCCCTTCAGCTGCTGTAGCTCCTTCTTTGTCTGCTCAAGCTCTAGTTTGAGGGAATGAAGGTAGTATGCCATTAGATTTCCTTCTTCTTTAGATTTTTCAAGGCTTCTTTTGGTCTCTTCAAGCTCAGCTGTCACTGTTCCTATTTTAGATTGGTGTGGCTGTTCAGCATCGCCTCTTGCTTGCATCTGAACACAGAAAGAAACGCATTCAGTCAGTTGGCCGTACACAATCAAAGTCATTTAAATACCCAGCCCTGTACCTAGTGGATTGTAAACTTCAGCAGAAACTGACTGAATATTAAAAAAAGAAACTAACAGTAAGGAAGTTTCTTACGTACAATTCACTGACATTAAATATATATCTCGAATGTCTTTCCCTTAAATTTCTCCAATTTCAAAGATTCTATAGAATTCTTTGCTATTCATTCAGAATTTTCGCTTAAAGGGTGCATGCTTGAAATTTGGTGGCTTGCCTGGAGTTGCAAGTTACTTGCGTACAAAATGCATGACTGACTATTGCGTGCCTCACATGACCACCATGATTTGTAGAATTTGATCAAACTAAGGTAAATGGATAATCCAGTATATATATACGCCGCCTGAATTGCTTATTTCTGATTAGAACACACGAATAAGATAATACAGAAAGATTAAAGGGAGACAACTGAGTTTAGGTAGGAGGGAAAGAGAAGAAAGAAATAACCGGCTAGAACCTGTTTAAGCTTGTTTCCAATGATTTCACCGGCTAGAACCTTTTCCCCAAACAGCGTCACTGCTTCCTTCACAGAACGAAAAGGTTGCCTCATGTCAATTTCTACTCTTCCCCTCACCACCACTCCTCCTCCTTCACCCTCCATATTCATCACTTGACAGTCAGCTGCCCAGCCTACACAGCCCACGGCATGTAATGTGTATTAGTTATTCCTTCCTAGCACTTCGATCAATGGTATTTGAAGCCAGTTGATCGAGATGACCAAGACGACGATGTCTTTAATTTGGATGATTTCACTTCACCATTGTATATACTAGTTGAAGATCGAGAAGGTGTGGTTGGTTAGTATTAGTTATGGTGGTGGTGGGATGCTGGGATATTGATTCTCCATATGATGATTACCTAAAGTAAGTACATAAAATGATATTGAATAAGTTAGTAAAACCATTTCTTCGCGTCCACTTCACTAGACATATCTGTTAATTGACGCTGATGTATAAGGTGGTTGCACCATCCTAATTCCTGTGATCAATCCCTTGCTATATCTAAACTACATTTCTCAAGTGTGAAAGATAAAGAGCAAGTTTACCGGAAGTGGACCTTTTATGGTCCCCCAATTCCGCCGCCTTGATTTCGACTTGCCTCCCTCTCTTATGGACCCCAACTACTTTTACACCAAGTGCTCCCTAGATAATGCATACTGCGTATGCTATTCGTACTTGAGGATGTATAATGATGGTAAAAAAAAATATATGGTTACTTAAATTCGGAATCCGTAGGGTATAACGAACAGCTTCAATTTGATTGTTACATGTTTGGCTTAGCAGGTCAATTTCCTACGACGTCAGAAGTTGTTGCCTCCTTGTGCTCAGCGTCGAGTTAAACATCAATCGGTTACGTTAACTCTTCTACTTCGCGCAGAAACTTGTTGGTTTTACTCTGAATTACTCCGTTCATAAGAAGGCAAACAAACATAGGACGGCAAGTAGATTTTCTAGTTCTTTACTTGTACATCATTACATTCAAGTCACACTACCGCATTTGTATTTGTAAAGGAGACCCAAAACGTACCTATATATCAAAGCTGAAATTAAAGTTCCCTCCTAAAGGAACTGGCCAACCTTAACACTCGTGTGCTATTAAACCAAACTTCTTGCAAGTACAGAGTCAAACAATGAATTTCTAAAATGTATTTGTTTTTCTTGGGTTAATTATAATTAATCTTCATAAGGTATACCCTGATTCTCACTTTACCTCTTAGCAATTATTTTTTGTTATTTAAACCACTAAGAAATGAAAATACCTTTTTATCATGCTAATTTTTTATCTTCGAATCTTCTTCTTTCGTTTACAATGAAATTTAACTCGTGGTTGATCACTTTAATTGATGGCGGTAATGTATCACATGAAAGGAATAGATGTAATTGATTACTTTAAAAAATAATATAAAAAACCCCAATAAGCAAATGATCCATTAGACGGAAAAAAAGGAACAAAAAATTGTCCAAATAACCGACACTTTACTATGCATATAAAAATCGGTAACTGATTTTGAATCGTTCTGTTATAAAAATATATACAGTTTCTTTTATTTCAAAATTAAATAATGAATGCCCGAAATTTCCAGTTAGGATGAATTATAACACAATGCAAAAAAGGAGGGACAAATTAATTTTGAATCTCTAACATGTAAGGAAATAATATTAATACATAAATACACTAAGGTTTGATTCTTTAATGAATAAAAGTTCTTAAAAGAGGAAACTCGTCGATAGAGAATTTTTTTTTGTTCAAATATAAATATTTGAAAAAAGAAAACTAACTTGGAAGAAACATGTTAGAGAAGGGAAAAAAAAATAATCATAGTGGAGGGGTAACTTTACCTTATTAGGGTTTTTTTTTCTTTTTTTTTTCGGAGAAGACAATTGTAGTATATCCTAATCTATCCTACACTAGGGGAGGGGGTGGATTTAAGGAGGTTTAGGGGTAACCCGGAGAGAACTGAACCACCACCGGACCAAACTAATGCACTATACACCTGTCTGAATTTTTTAAAGTAAATTCACATTTTAATGTGATAATTGGTGCCATTGCCTCCTACCCCACCAAGCCTTAAAGGCTTGATGGTGGGCACCAGCCCAAAGGCTGGTAGTTTAACTTATTGGGGTTAAGTGACATAAATTAATATTATAAAATAAATGAGAATTAGTATATATCTTAGGAGAATAAATTGTAAGTTTTTTTTTTTGCGCTGGGGTGGGGGCGTGGAGGTACCAACTTGGATTTTGTTCACTATTCGGTCAAGAACTCGAATTTTTAATCTTCTATGTTGGAACGATCGGACTAGTCCAGCCGACTAATCTTATGGGCTAAGTTGTGACAAGCCTATCAATATCTCCGTACCGGGTCGCCCGAAGCTCAACCATATCAGGATATACTACTGCCTAGTGAAATTTGAAATTTTTATGTTTACAATTTCATTTGTTGTCTTATTTTTCACTAATCAACTACATTTCTTTCATATAGTTATAAATTTAAACTTCTCTTTGTTCTTATTGCATTCTGATTGGTATGTATACCTAAACTTGAAAGCCTTACAGCCAAAACTATATATGCTTCTTTTTTTATTTTTGGGAAACTACCACATTAATTTCCTAAAAGTTTGCTTAGACAATAAAATGAAATCATTTGGCAGAACATCAATCGAAAACAATGAATTGCATTAAAGTTACTACAGTTTGCCTCGGAAAAAAATGATGAAAGATATAAATTTGTGATCAAAATGAAGTGCATCAATCGTTTTAGCATGCAATTTGTGAGTGTATTCAGATAAGAGATTATTTGAGATAATTTTATTAAAAAAGTAATAATACAATGCATGTGAGATAAAAAAAAAAGATAATTAAAAAAATGTGTTGATGATAGAAGTAAACCAATGTGTATGTAAGTGATGTGTAAATAAGTTTTAAATGATGAAAGACATTTTTTACCTACTTAAGTAGATTAAAGTATTCTTGTTCTTTATTTTCTTTAGCTTTCGAGTTCTCAATGGCAACAGTAGCGAAAACCATCACAACTTTTAAAACCATTATCTAAAATGATACTATTGTCTCAAACTACAAAGCATGTTTCGTTCTTTTTGGGGAAAATATAATGCGTGAACACAAATTGTAATAATTGACATGTTAGCCAACTAAATATATTAACATATATTGTAACCTGATACAACTGTCAAAAGTAAGACTCGAACTGAGCTGATGCGGACCGAGCTAGTCGAGGGCGACCAAGCTGAGAGGGGAAAAGCAAGCGGGCTATCTTGCAAAGAAAAGGCAAAGGCGGGGCTAAGGTCCCCGAAGTAACTCCGACGATCAAGTCAACGAGAGCTTGAGAGTAAAGTAACAATATAGAGTACTGTAGATGGCGTACCTTGTGTCGTCGTATGAGGCTACATTTATAGGCTTGCGGGTAGTAATTTCCATATAGGAGTCGGAGTCCTCTAGGGTTTGGAGTCTCTCTAGGGTTTCGCGTGAATACCCCGAACGGTTCGGAGGCCGCGGCCTACTAGGCCCACCTAACGGAGAGGCGGTGGCGGCCGCCGAGTTGGTGCTCTCCAGCCGACCTGGCTGATCCGAGCTGGCGGGCCACCATGGCTGAACTAACACGTGGCTACTGTCAATTGGTCCCACTACACTAGCCCCCTTTTGAGTCTAGAGTCATCGAAAGGTCGCATGAGTCTGGATCAAATTTCGAGACAACTGGTCGGTTCGGAGCAGAGCCCATTATCCCATGACGGCTGCCTTTATCTGAGTAACTACTACGTTTGCTTGTGTAATTGGTACTTCAAAGGTCATGTCCCATTATGATGGTGGTTGTCAGCCTAACCGTCACCCAAGGCGACGGTTTTCTAGTATTAAATTTGAAATTTTAATTCGGGGCTCTTCGTCTTCCCGCTCGGGTGGCCTATAAATAGGCCCCATCAGACGTCACTTTCAAGTTTCCTTCCTCATTTTATCTACTTCCAAATTTCCATCAGCTCGCACAACGCTTAGTGAGTTTGTCCGAGAGTAGCGTCCCCTTCTAAGCACCTACCAGCTCTTCTTCCTTATCTGCTAATAAGTCCTCTTTTCCTTTTAAGTCTTCTTCTTTCACACACTCAAACATCACTAGTTCCGCACCTAGGCGTAGAGTAGTCCGACCTGCCCCAATAGAAATAATTTCTTTTTCTTCTAGCTCCTTTTCTTCCAACTCGTCTGATTCTGAATATCTTCCTTCTCCCATTCGTTCACCAATCCGAGCCATGATCCCGTTCGACCAGCCTGCCCAGCCTGTTGGGAGAGATGTTGTTCAGGGTATTCTCCTGGAAGCAGCTCCTATTAATACCGGGGCAGTAACTGCCGGGGGGCATGACACTGATTTTGGGGAAGTCGAGGTAATACTCCCCTCCTAAATCAGGCAAATGTAAACGAGCTGGTGGAGAGGTATGATATCCCTCTTCAGTTCGAGGCCAGGGCCGCCCAACCTGGTCAGTACGCCAACCGACCTCTCCCAAGCTTTGTGGCCATCTACAGAGATCAGTTCATAGCTGGTCTCCGCCTTCCGATTCCTCATTTCATTTATCAAATTCTGACCTTCTAGGGAATTCAGATAGCCCGGCTTGTCCATAACGCTGTTTGATCGATTCTCGGCTTCTTTATCTTGTGCATAGTCCTCGAGATTCCCCATTCCTTAGATCTGTTCAGATCATTTTTTCAAATGAAGATTAGCGATTTGGTCCATGGTTAGTTCTACTTCGCTCGTAGAAGCGGGGGGGGGGGAGCTCCCAACCCATGAGCTGTTCTCGCACGTTCCTTCCTCTATTAAGGGCTGGAAGGCCCAATTCTTCTATGTGAAGAACACAGGCTTTTCTCTCTTGACCTGGAGGGAGGAGACCCAGGTGTCTGATCCCATTCCTTCGCCCCTACCAACGACCGAGCTGGACCGCCTGATTAGTTCGGGAGCTCGGTTGAAAGTGAAGGAATTCAACAGCGCCTAGCTCTGGTCCGCGGGGTTGATTCAGGCAGGGGTGAATGACTCTACTCCCGATCTCCGACCTCTCACCCCCGAGAAGTTGGCAGTTTGTAAATTCTTGATCTCATCCCCTCTTCCTCCTTCTTTTTTATGAGTTCAACTATGTTGTCCGAACTGACCTCTTCTCTTTGTCCTATAGTGAAGAAATTTTCTCAACTGTTGAACATAGGGGGAACTGGCGGTTTGAGTACGCCTGCTACTGAGCTCTCCACCGTTCATGTCAGCATGGCTCTTCCTCCTCCACTAGTGCCCATCCCTCAGGCAGTGGCTCAGTTTTCTCCCGTGGAGGAGCC